GTTGTCATGTTTAATATATTGTATAAGATTTCACAAGAATTAATAAGAAAATACATAAAAGTATAAAAGTGTGTGATGTCCGAAATTGCAGAGAGATAGTTGACAAAGGACAAGTATACATGTTAAGTAATGCATCGAATTAGAGTCTGCACATTAATCTTGCAAGAAATTTTATCAATTTTTCTAATATTTGAAGTTCTAATTTACGAAATCGCTAAGCTTAGTTTAAAGTATTCACGATTGTAAATGTCGAAAGGGGTCTAAATTCTTAATGCATAAATCAGAAAACGGAATTAAAGTTGTTAAGATTTTTCAGTGATGAAAGGTTAATACTCCTGTGACACGAGTTTAGTTATTCCTCACAGTTTTTCGTAAGAGTTCCTCACGGTAATATTGCCAAGCAGGGACAAGTTCTCCTTACTTTGTGTCTAGGCCATAAGAAGCATTTGAAAACTGTATTAAAATTAAAGGGGCTTAATCATGCAAGGTTTTCTAGGAATCCTTTAGTCCTCTATCGAGGTTGCACCCTTATACTGACAATATGTCCATTCTACTTGGTGAAAAGTGGTTTAACCTACTTTTCTTCTAGTCAACAATTAGAAGACCTAGATCATAAAGGGGTTTTAACACTCTAATTGGTCATATTAGAAGCAAATGAAGATTGAAAGGTTTACACGTCAACATATTGAAATCCAAGCATAAAGAAACATTTAGGGAAAAGATCAATGATAAAGCAATGAAGAAATCATATGTCTTTGTTTTCGTTCTTTTTCTCTTTTTTATTTTTTAAGGGAGTCGTCAGCTTATCGATCGTCATATACTTACCTTTCCAGGATAAAACTGTCTTCCAAATCATATCAATGATCAGGAGAAGGGAGAAACCAAAAAATAAGGACATATGATAAAGACAACAAACAAGAGAAAAGAGAAACTTGAAGAGCCAATGTGCAGTAAACCTCACAATGATAGGTAAAACATGCCCACCCAAACAAGATTGGTCAGTAACCCCTTGGAACGATATCTGCGAAAGAATACCTACGTAGACTACCCATTACTAGAGAGTCAGGTGTATGTGCCTGTTCTAGGGCCAAGAATGCTCCCAAGGGGACATATCCCACATAATTAATTGCATCTTGGGGGTTTACAAGAAACACACTTGAGCTAAGGGAGTTTTGTTTACAAAGTAGTGACGACTAGTACAGGGTTATCAAAAGAGGGTCATCTCGCAAGAGGATGCTCTGATGCCCTCAAAGCTCCCGCTAAGCCACGAGGCAGAGAGTGAGTCTCATTGGCATACGAACCCTGCAAAATGACTAAAACATCCCGATGAGGAAATCCTGATACGTCATAGCACATCCGGGCCATAAGGGTAGATGACAAATCATCGTATCCCAAATGGGTAGCAGCTCATCGACGTCAGGCCATCAAGATGATGCCAATAAAGGCAAAAAAGAGACGTGGCTCAATAGCGATAATCAAAGGAAGAGGAGCAATCGATAAGAGGTAGAGGCGGGTCAGGGTACCACATACCTGTCATTCCGAGCTGCTAAGACCCTGAGTCTACCTAGTCAAGAAGGTAGTCAACCCAACACGTCCAGAGATTCCCTTTCAGTAATCTATGAATTGAGTCGTTCATGGTGGATCTCGATAGCCTTAAGGTCAGAGAAACAAAATTCTATCTTATGACTATCCGTAGGAGCTCCAAGAGGTGGGAGGGAAAGAAAAAGAGAGGTAGGTTCAGCTACAATGTTGTAAACGCTCCAAACAAAATGACTTACACCCATTTGGGTCGAGAGCTTTCTAACACACTAGGTCCACTAGACAAATATCTATGCAACTAAGTATGCTAGGCCAATGGGGTTAGAGAAGCACTGGGGCTTTTGCTTGGGACGTGCAAATATGATGCAGTTATCTGCCACAATTTTAAGTGTAGAGACCCAATTAAATATGATTGGATTATAACCATGTGTGCAACTTGATTTAAAACCAACCCGAAGGTCATGCGGAAAGTAAAAACAAGTTTTGAAAAGTCTTGAATCTTTTAATCCTAAAATTTTAATTATCGTAATATTTTATGAGGATTTTTATAAGTAGAAAAATTATAATTTTAAAGTCCTAGAGAGCCTAGATTATATTTTGCATAATGTCCTAGATCAGCTAGAAACAAACAATAGAAAACAGTTCAGACATACATGCACTCAGTAAAAAAAACAATACTCTCAAAATATATAAAATAGGCCAAGATGACGCTGGGTCGACATCATATCCCAGGAAAGCAGGAAAAGCAACCAGACTCCGCATATACATGACATGTCCTAGATCTACACAAAAATATATAAGTTTTGGACTTAAAGTACGAGACACGAGCTGCCGCCCTAATCCTAGTCATGTGGTTCAGTGCGTCATCTACCTTGAAACTCGTGCATGCACCTTATTTTCGATAGAGAATCGGCTTAAGGACTCTATCAAATACATTGAAAGAGAAAATAAAAAATTCGACCTGCATGAATACAAGCGTTATAAATTGCAACACATAACAAGTCTTGCCTTATAATCAGGGGGAGCTAAAGAACACTTGCAAGCAAAATGTTGAAACCATTACATGCTCTCCCACAGAGATGCATGTGTGCGTGCAAACAAATAACAAAAATTTATTTCCTGTAGTTAGAAATCAGGCTTCTAAATAATAACAAAATTTATTAAATTCATCATTAATTTGAACAAGATGACACATCTCACATTGGTTGTTAGCTTAAAATTTCACAAACTCATGAATCTTTCAACAAAAACTAAAATCACATTCCATAAATGAAATAAAATTTCTCCTAAAAATATATATTTATTTATTCGCAGCCACCAAACGTTTCCTTTCTACTCTAAAAAACCTAAAATATATACCAGGAAAAAACTTCTGGACAATATTAAAAACGCATATTCTTTATGCAATACTTCTTTTTTATATGTTTTAAAAGGAGGAGGAATGGGTTTAAAATGTAAATTTAATATAAATATTAATGAGAGTCAAATTTAAAGTTTTAATCTTAATTCTTAAGATCTTTATGAATGAAATTACTTAGTATTCTTTAGAAAGATTTACATACATAATGTTCAATTCTTATGTATTTATATATCAAATGTCTAAATTCTAATCTGTGCAAACATATCATTTTATCCATATATCTTTTAAGAGTTTGAACACTGGCATTTTTGGTGATAAATAAAATTTGGGTGGTAAAAATGTAAATAAGTAAAATATAGGTATTAAAGATGTAAATAGATAGAAAATAATAAATGATATGCATGCAAATGCCCTGTTTTTTTATGTGAACTGATTTCAAAGTGTGGTCCCAACTGTTTGAATTTGTAATATATAGTTTAAAATAATGCAAAGAGCACGAAAAAGTCGTAGTTCAACAAGCGGTGCCCACTGTTCGACTAACATCACCAAGCGAGCTTATGACATAGTCCAAGGGTAGTTTCGTAATAACCTCAACAGTTTGGTGATGTTTGCTCCCATTTCCGTTACGGCAGTCTTGAACGGTGTTCGCAGGCCAACAAACGGCCGTTAGTTTTAAGGAGGACCGTTACACGTGTCCTCCTAAAGAAGTGAAACATTTGAGTGATTATCCTTCTCATTTATGGTTCGGCTAAAAAGATATTAGGTCTGGTTAATCACATAAGATACGTTCGATTGTCCGAATGACAGCGAACATAATATTCTCTTCATGTTAATAACAAAAACCTGATGAAATTTGCTTAATATATAAAAAAAACAAAATATTCTTGTCCGAAGTTCATATTTATGAATTATATCCATTGAGTTTACATACAAAAATGTTAGCTGGAGCTCGATTAAACCGTTTATCCCACCTTCCCGCTCCCGCCCCTGTTCCCGATCTTGGAAGGTCGCGACCGCGACCCAGCAGTTTTGTGAACTGCTCCCGCCAACTCCCGCTGAAGTTCGCGAATCGTCGCACCTCTCCTCTTGTTCGCGATAAAAGGCTTCAGATGACTCTCTTTAAGTTTCTAAGTCACAGTTTTTGGTATTCTTCTTCAGGCTACCTCGGGATAGAGAAAGGAAGGTGCAAGAAGTAGTTCCTTGCGGCAGAAGAAAAAAGAAAGAAGAAGAAGATTGTTCTCTCTTGACTTCTTCTTGGTGGCTTGTGGCAGAAGAAAAATTAGATTTATTTCTCTTGTAAGTTTATCGTCTTCGGTGTATTTCGGTGTAGAGTTTTTTTGTGTATCTCAGTGTAGAGAGAGAAAAATAAAGAGAGAATAAAAGAAAGCAACAAAGTGAGAGATTCATCTTGTAAGTCGAGGAGGTGTAGAGAGAGAAAAATAAAGAGAGAATAAAAGAGAGCAACAAAGTGAGAGATTCATCTTGTAAGTCGAGGTGATCACTGGTGTAAATTTCTCAAGTATTAAAATCTTCTGCAACTCCGTGGACGTAAGCAATTTGCCGGACCACGTAAATCTGTGTGTTCCGTTGTGTTACTGTCTTCTGATGTAAATTTTTCTCATTATATTTTTCGCTTTGTTGATTGTTCTCCTGCTATATATATATATATATATATATATATACACACCATATCAATATCAATTTGGTGTATATCTTATCACAACAAAAAATATAATGAAAAATTAATTCAAAATATTCAATTTAATATTTTGGGATGGTAAATTTTAAACTATTGTATTTAATTTAAGATTAGTTTGATAAAAAATCAATTAACGCATGTATTAAATTTATCTCGAGTGTTTTAAAACACATCCTGATCAAATTATATCCAAATATCCTCACCTAATATTTTACTAGATCATAGAAAAATTATTTTAGCATCATTTAATTTATTTTAAATATATTTTATATTTATATTTTTTAAAATAAATTAACTCACAAACTATTAAGTTTTAGTCAGAATTAATTTGAACTTGACTTATTAAGCTTACTTAAAAGTATTTAGTTAAATTGTCTCTATATCTGTCATTTTACTCTCCAACCCGATAAGTAGAGCAGGAGAGGAGCGCCATAAAACCCACGCCGTTACCTGATGAGACGATGGCCAATTCCTATGAGTAATGTTTCCCTCACTCCTTCGTGCTCCCCGGATCGTGGAGAGCCTGCTGGTTGCCATCAAAATCTGATTGTTTTTTAATTTCCCCTCCCTTTAATCACAAGCATTTTTGGTTAACCGAGCTCAATCCTTGCTGAAATTTCCGACAAAAATTGCTTTTTTGAGATCTTCGTGTGCCGATCTCTTCGCCTCATGTCCATTTTCTTTCTTTAGGGTTTTTCGATTTTACTAAATTTAGGGATCTACTCCCCTGCTTCTCTACTAGCCCCTTCTCCCTCTTATCTATGTCTTCTCTTATTCCGAGCTCGACTGCAACGTCGTATTGGTGCTACAGCTGCAGCCGCTTCGTTAGGGCTTTCACCGTTGAACCCATCTCATGTCCCGACTGCTACGGCGGATTCCTTGAACTGATCAGCAACACTCCTCCGGCTTCCACCGCCGCGCTTCGCCGAAATCGCACAATTTCCTCCGGCGATGAGTCGTTCCCCGCTGCTCGCCGTGTCGATTTGGGTTCCCAACAAGCCCGACGCACCTCTCTCGGCCACGGCTCTCCGTTCAACCCCGTCATTGTGCTCCGGAGCTCCGTTGCCGATGCCGAAGCTTCACGCTCCAACAATGGTAACAACAGTTTCAATCTATTCTACGACGATGGCTCGGGCACCGGACTCCACCCCTTGCCCCAGAGCATGTCCAATTTCCTCATGGGATCTGGTCTTGATCAGCTCCTCGATCAATTGACGCAGATAGAAAACGGTCGTGTGGGTGGTGGGAGGAGCAATGACAACACTCCGGCATCTAAGGTGGCCATTGAATCATTGCCCACCGTTACGATCACTGAAACCCATATCGTCATGGATTCGTACTGCGCGGTTTGCACGGAGGCGTTAGAGCTTGGGGATGAGGCTCAGGAGATGCCCTGCAAACATATATTTCATAAAGATTGCATCTTGCCATGGCTATCGTTGAGAAACTCCTGTCCTGTTTGCCGCCACGAGTTGCCTGCTGATGGTGAGAGAAGCGTGGGAGATCTTCCGGGTCAGGCTTTGTTGGGGAATGAAGAGAATTCGTCCGGGCTTACGATTTGGAGGCTTCCTGGTGGTGGATTTGCGGTGGGTAGGTTTTCTGGCGTGAGAAGGGCCGGCGATGGAGAGCTTCCTGTGGTTTACAGTGAGATGGATCGTAGTTTAAGTTCCGGTCGAGTGCCGAGAGGGATTTTGTGGTCTTCTCGAGGAAGAAGATCGAGAGAACACAGAGGAGTTGGTAGAGTGTTTCATAACTTTTTCTCAATGTTTCGGTGCTTTGGTCCTCCTTTGCCTTCTTTATCGTCTCCAAGCTTAAGATCGACATATGCATCTGAAGAACCGCAAAGTTGAGTAGCACAGCAGTGCTTGTTGGAACGGAGAAGTAATAAGACAGAAGGTGGAGGGTGAAGACGGATGGAAGAAGAAAAATTGTCATGGCACTTTCATCAGAGCTTGAGGTCCGGAAGGTGGGTGAATTCTCAAGCCATTATTGTTGGAGTTCTTAAATTTGTCTACAGGTTTATTTATCTATTGTTTAAGTTTCTTAACATAATTTGTTTATTTTCTATTTTGCTTATTAATTCAGTTGTGGATCTATTGTGAAATTAAAAATATTATCTTTGGCTCTCTATTTTACATGATCTGTTATAGATGAACTGTGCCTCCATGGGACTCTTTTAGCATGTTTTAAGAATTTTTTTGGTAAATGACTATATGGGAATTTGTTGTGAATGTTATTGAAATTGGGAGAAATCTGTCTTGGTATTTATTTTGGTACTATGATTTTTTTAGTGATCTTAGCTTACTTTTCTCTTAGAACTAAGTTCTTGCTCTTGAACAGTAGAATGTGATAACTGTAAGAGGGTTTGTTTTTTTTTTTTTAATTCAGATTTGACATGAAGCATATTTTACATGTTTAAAATATGTGTTTTGAACAATTATATATTTTTAAGAAATAAACTAATTTGTTTTAAAATTCTAAAAATAAAAGGGGCATTTACATACATAGCACTCAATCCTTATGTATTTAAATATCTAACACCTGAATTTTAGTGTTTACATTTACACACCCCCCCCCCCCCCCCCCCAATCTTTCATATTACATAAAAAATAGGACTTTTAATTTTTAAAATGTAAAATACATATTGGCATGCATGGTGAATGTACCATCATGTAAAATTTGAAGTTCAGTTGTTGGATTTGAAAACACATACTAATTGAGTGGCATGTATGTAAATCTTCTAAAATAAAAATATGTAAATTTTATATTAAATAAGCATAGTTTAAACCTTATAATGATAGTAATAATAAAACAAATCCCAAATAAGTTTTTTTTTTTAAGTTTTTTAAATTTGAGAGGTGAGTTTCAATACTGAAGACTTCAAAATCGTGTTAAATTTTGATTTTTTTTTAATAAAACAATTAACTACTGAAATAAAGATAATACGAGGAAGAACTCTTTCAAAACAGAGATTTTTTTTTTTTTTTTCTGAAAATTATTTCATTGAAATTCACTTTAACAACCACTGCTCCAAGCAAGTTTTACCTTCAATACTCAGCTTATTTACACCACTATACGACGAAGAATTCTTTCAAAACACATATATTGGACACATTGTCTGCAAAATGAATTCTTTGCCTTCAATACTCTGTTTTCTTGCCAACTAGATCCATATTTGCTCAACAGTTGGTTTGTTCATCCGATTTGAACTCACGGAAGTCTTTTACATGTTGTTTCTCCACTTTGTTGGCCTAATCAGGCGGCCTTTTGTATAGTGGTGTAAATAAGCTGAGTTTGGCTATCTTCGTGTTCGGCTCGTGAAAAAGAAATAACTGTTCGTTTATACATCGAGCTCAAAAAATTTATTAGTGTTCGACTCATTTGCTTACCGAGTTCAACACGTAATGTTCACAAATGAATATTTATTTTAAAATATTCATTTAATTAGAATTTAATATATATTATATTTTTTTATCAAATATAATGGATTATAGATCTTTATAGTCATCTAGTCAATTAAATTATTTAAAAATCATACTCATCAAATATGTGTGTGTGTGTGTCTTAGCCTGACTCATTGAGCGCGGCCTTTGGTGTAAGTCTCTCGGGTCAAGGGTTCGATTCCTGAATATGATCGAATTGCACATCTGTCTAGAATGGGTCCATCAGGCTTTAGGGTTGATCGGCGATCAACCTTTGAGTGTAAGTCTCTCGGGTCGAGGGTTCGATCCCTGCATATGATCAAATTGCACATCTGTCTAGAATGGGTCCATCAGGCTTTAGGGTTGATCGGCGATCAACCTTTGAGTTTAAGTCTCTCGGGTCGAGGGTTCGATCCCTGCATTTGATCGAATTGCACATCTGTCTAGAATGGGTCCATCAGGTTTTAGGGTTGATCGGCGATCAACCTTTGAGTGTAATATATATAATTTAAAGTCAAAAAGAACCGAACACTTAGTGTTGGCTTGTTTAAATATCAAGTGCAAAAAAATTGTTCATGTTGGGCCCGTTTTAGCTACTTAACCAGCCATTTTGTTTTGTGCATATCAAATTGGTCAATTTCTCATTAGTTTTTGGAGGCATTTACCTACATACCACCCAATTCCTATGTATTTACAAACCAACACTTAAACCCTTTTACTTCTATAACACCAAAATCTTTCCGATCAATTCAAAAATATCATCATTTTAATTTTAAAAATAATAATACATCTTGTCATATATAGAAAAAGGTGGTGTGTATATAAAAATTAAAGTTTAGGTGTTAGATATGTAATCACATAGGAATTGCGTGGCATGCATGTAAATCTTTCGAATTTTATCTATTTATTTATTTTTTAATTTCGTTTGCTGACATTCATAATTTTTCTCCTTTTAGGCGACCTGTTGGTATTTGATCCTTTTTAAATAAGCAAAATGCATGAAAAATAATTATATTAGAGGGATGATTAGAGTAAGTTAGCAACTTAATAATATATAGTAAAGATAAGATAATAAATTATAAAGTAAGTATTTTAGTTATGCACAAAAAACAGTATAAAATGTGCAAATATAATTATAAAATTAAGATATAAAAATTAGGAAGCATAAATGGTTGAGAAATATTTATTTTAAAGGGAGGGTGGGAATAAGCTAGCAATACCTATTGAAGAAAAGATAGTGAAATATAAAATATTTTAGGCATGTACCAACAATAGTATATGATGCATCAATGTAAGGGATGGATGAAATTAATATATCATATTTAAAAAAATAAAAATTTGCGTGGACTGAAAGTAATATGAAAATATTAAATACAATTTTATTAATTGAATTTAATTCCTTGTTATTTTGATAAGATTAATGATGATGATGTTAACAATTTAATTTGTAGTAAGTCCTTACAAAAAAGACCTACTAAGTATGCATAAAATGAATATAATATAAGCTGGCCATTATGCTAAACGATAAAGTATGAGCTTACTTTTGACTAGGGATGATTCAAGATTATGATTTTTTTAATAAAAATGATATGATTTGCAATAAATGTTTAATGTAATATATTGGGGGTTGGTTTGCTAAATTATCTAAACTACATAACAAAAAAATATAAATATTAAATTTTTTGATAAATTTTGTGAATTATGATATAAACGCTTGCAAATAGAATATTTGATGTGAAAAATTTCAGCAAAGTCAGAGCTAATATTAAATTATGCAAATGAAATTAAAATTATATATATATATATATATATAGCTACATTTTATTATAACACTTGAATGAACCATATATCTAATTTGCATTCATAAGATGAAAAACTAGAAATAAAAAAATTATTTGGACAATTCTTTAATCATGTGTCATAATATTGATGTGTTGACTTTTATTTCTAGCTTTTTTATTAAGATTTCTCAACATGATTACAAAATATATAAGGTCAATGAGTCACAAATAAAGCTATCACTCAAATGTTCCACAACGAGATTTAATAAAAGTGTAAGAATTCTGTTAGAGAAAGAGTTCACTTGATTTGCAAAAGAAGAAGAGGAACGATCTCAAACCATTCTATGAAATTTAGACTCCAAACCTCATAATATTCTTTGATTTGCATTGTTCTAATCAACCCACACCTTTGTTGTCCTGAGTATCACACCAAAACCACTAAATCCCGCATCGAATCTTGTTGTTTGAAGATTTCAATAGCACCACAGATGATTCATCTTCGCCACTTCGTCGCTTTTGGTATTGCACACAGAAACCTCTCTCTCGTTCACTCTGGATGGTTGCTCTCTCTCGCTTGATCGAGTTGACTCATTAGTTCGACCTATGAATAAATAAGGAAAAAAAAACCAAAGCTACATTAATTCTTAACAACACAAAAGATAACACATGAAAATAAATAATAATTAATTAAATTTATCCCATAATTAACTAAAAAATTAAGTCTCTTTCTTGAATCAAGTATTAGGCAAGTGCAGTAACCACATTTCTGCCAACACCTCCTTACATAGGAGTTCTACCTGTCTGAAGAGTTATCACGTAATGTTGGACTTTCGCTCCATACACTACATTTGTAATGATATGAGTCGGTCCATTTCTTAAACATTCACAATGATAATGCAACTTGATATTAATGTGCCTTTTTTTTTATGAAATATATGATTCTTCATCAGTTGAATTACAGTATGACCATCATAGTAGATTAATTTTTTTATTTTTTTGTTCTCAAGTTCTTTAAGAAAATTTTTATCAAGATGCATTTATTGTCTCAATTGTACTACCTTTGCTATTCATAAAGCCACAACTTATTGAAGGTTTGCTTTTCATTTAATTATGTTTCAATAAACTATAAAAATATAACCAATCAAAGATCTATGCTTTGTTCAAATCTCCAGAATAATTAGAATCCATAGAATTGGAGTTAATTGTCATTAGTTGATGATGTCTCCATTAAAAATTAGTTAGACTGGTTTTAAAATTCGAAGATTTAACTTGAAAAGACTAAATTTTGGCTATGATATGTTAACCTAATTTTTCTACTTATTTCCTGGTTGCGCTTGCTTGGATCGGACTTAAGAGCTGGGTTAACAGGAAGGAAATTAACAAGGAAAATTTACATACAAACCACTCAATTATTATGTATTTACATATGTAACATCTAAACTTCAATACATACAATTCCAATTTATCTATGCATGAGAAAGTGAATTACTTTTTAAAAATTAAAATGATAATACTTATTGTAAGCCAAAATTTTAAAATAGCATTTTTAAAAGTTTTTATTTTCTTA